GACAAAACACCCCCCAGCCACGGAGACCTCCCTGCCTCTGGCACTGCTGCTGCTCTCTGCCTTGCTTGGCCACCATTGTGCCACCACAGCGGCAGCAGTGATGCCCCGAGTGATGGAAAGTACAGGAGTTCCCCCAGGCTCTGTCCTGACACGAAACTCAATTCTTCAGCCTACAAATCCAAGCTGTGACAGTGTGTCCTGGCCTAGAGAGCATGGAGAGCAGCTGGTAGCTGTCCCCATCTCACAGCCAGGACATGCTGAGAGTGGTTATGGTCCTTACTTTTCCATAGGAAGAAATTAATTTTCCAACTTCCCTCCTCATCCAGCCACCTACTGCCTCCTGCAACTGTCCCCCAAGTGCCAAAGACCTTTCAGGTTCTTCTGGACTTTCCCTTCGTCTGAAGGGCAGTGCCATACACTTGTCGTGCAGCAACAACACATCTGTACCAAGCAGATGCTGTAGCTCTAGGTCCTGGTTTTTGACAGTGGCTGATAGCAACTGGCGAAGGAAGGCTGTAAAAACAGATAAGCCTGCAGAGATATTCTCTGCATGTCGCTTCTACCCCCAGCTGCTGGAGCCAAGACATTTCCTGGGTGAGAGGCAGCCTTCAGAGTTAATTAATATCCCTCAACAGAGTCTCCTACCATGAATGTGCCCTTTGAACTTGTAACACTGGTAGTATCCTGTGGAACAATTCCATCTTGCACCTGGGTGTGACGCCAGCCCCAAAAACTTCCCACATCAGAACTTGCGACTCCCAGCAGCACCCATGCAGCTGGCTGCCCTGTCCAGTCCTGCTCTGTCACCTAGCATTCCCTCTCCACTAAGGAACCTCACACACAGTCTTCAGGCTGTTTCCCAAAACCTGTCACGAGAATTTTGAACACAAGCACGCTTCCCCACCTCCTTAAGGCCCCCTGCCAGCTGTATGAGGATGTATGAAAACGCTCATGTGACCAAGTTGTGGACACGCTCTAAGAAACCACTGCTTGACCTTGATTACCCTTCTCCACTGTCACTTGCACTAGTTCCTCAGCCTCAGTTCATCTGTGTCCTCCTGCTTCCCCAAACTCTGCTGAATCAACAAGGGGAAAAAAAAAAAAAAAAAGATGTGATCCAAACAGACACACAGTAGGAACTTCTCTCCTTGGTGCTAACAACTAGAAGTTAAGCAAGTTTCCCAACACCTTGCAGAGCACAAGAAGTCGTTCAAGATACTGCTTATGATGGACAGGGACTCTGCCTTCCCTGCCAAGGAATTCACGTGCAGCCTAAAGAATTCCGCACACCAGCGAGGTGCCAAAAACGCAGCAGCGGTCCAAACACGGCAGTGAACCAGAGAGTGGGAGCGATGAGACTCTGGCACCCTGCCTGCTGTGCTGCACAGAGCGAGGAGGGCTGGCCGGGCTGGGATTTGGCGCCAGGGAGGGAGCTGGTTACCTATTGGTCTCGGTCCCTGGGCTATCAGCGCCTCGGGGGGGCGCTAAGCGCCCCCCCTGCCACGGGGCTGGAGAGATTGTCCAGGCTGCAGTCTTTGTCCCACCCGTAGTAGAGCCGCTTCCGCACCCTCTCGCTCAGCTGCTGGTGCCTGGGCAGGAACTGCGGGCGGGGAGAACGTGAAGAAGCTCCCCGAGCGCTGCCCGTGCCGGGCTGCCAGGCCCAGCCCGGCCCGGAG